AAGAGAGAAGGGAAAAAAGTATGGTTCTCAACTTGAGCGTGCAGAAACACGGTCTCTGATTCAGTAGGTCTGGATATTTGCGTTTCTGATTCAGGGACTATCCCTTGAGAACCATTGTTTATTTTATTCATGTGGACCAGCTTCTTCCTGACGGTCAAGAATGTGAGATACATGGAACAGACTGACAGCTGTCAGAGGGGAGGGAGACAGGAGAGGGGAGAGAGGGTGGAAGAAGGTGAAGAGATTAGCCAAAGAATGGACACAGACAACAGTGGCCAGAGAGAAGCGGGGTGGGGGCTGGGTGGAGATGGGCAAGGCGGGGTAGGGGGAATGAGAACATCTGTAATAGTGTCAACAATAAAAATAAAGTTAAAAAGTAGACTTAAAAAAGAATTGAGAGAACAAGATAAATATGTACAGAGGAAATATCAAACTGTTCACCTGATTTACCTGTGATAGGAAGAGGAGTCCTGTGACTTGACTGGAACGTAACCAGGTCCCCGAGGTTTCTGTGGGGTACGCACGTTTGCAGCCAGGCACTTACTGGGTTTCATCTCTTTGCATGGTCTCTGTGCAGCTCCAACGCCAGCCCCTAGACAGAGCTCTCCGTCCAAGTCATCTGCATCCCACACCAGTGACCCTACCACAGATGACATCTTCGAAGAGGGCTTTGAAAGTCCCAGCAAAAGCGAAGAGCAAGAAGCTGTAAGTGACGGGCTTATTCTTTCTGTTTTTGTTTTTCCTTAACTGCAAAACCTCTATAGCTGAAATGGACAATGCATGAGGAAACCTAAGTAGAAAAGAATGCTGGCTCAGGCGCTTAAGTTCTAAAGGGGTCACTAAGGGGCTTTATGTTCCAATGAGCAGCTAAAAACCATTGTCCTTTTATTAAGTTGTTCTTACAAGTTCTTGCGTTTGTGGGCGCGGTATCCTCTAACTGAAGTTGCTGCCTGCATTAAAATAGCCGATTACTTGTGTGCATGGAAGTGTGCCCAGCTGTCTTATATTTTCAATTGTTGAAAAGGAAAAAAAAGTGTTATCTTCTTGTGTTCTAGCCCGATGGATCACAGGCCTCATCCAACAGTGATCCATTTGGGGAGCCCAGTGGGGAGCCCAGTGCTGATAATATAAGTCCACAGGCCGGTAGCTAGATAGCACAGGTCTGGGTAGGTATCTGTCCTTTTATCTCCTTCATCCTTAAGCCATCTGCTTTCCCTTTTTTGCCTGTTCCTCACTTTGAAAGTTACATCCCTGATCTTTGTACCATCTCTCCTTGCTGAGCATATCCCTGAATGTTCACATCATCTCTCCTTGCCTGATGTCTGTTTGTCACCTAATTTTTCTTCATGGATGCATGACCTTTGACATATATTGGGAGGTAGGGGTAGAGGTGAAGAGTGGGGAATGGCCCTATTATTTTATTAATGATATGTTCACAATGACTGGTGATGACAGAATGAGGCGTGGTCAACGCTACTTAACGTGGATCCAGTTTCTGAAAGCATCAATTCTGAGATGGACACATTCTGCCCACCCTGATCAATTTTCAGTGAGACATGGTTCCGATGTTTTAATCTGATAAACAAAGTGTCACTGCATTTGCCTGCACTCCAACCAAACACACTGAGAATCCAGACTAAGAAGCAACAATACGTAGTGCTTGAAGTAAGACTGATAGAGATGTAAGAACATGGTAGCCCATTGTGTCTAGCCAAAAGGGGCCCTGCCCCCTTCCCAATGGGAAAGGGAAATTCAAAGGCCAAAGACATGCAGCATTCGCTCTGGGGCTCTGCGGTTTATACCTGTACAACAGCGTGTGCTGGCTCCCAGCCACTTCAGATTCCATCAGCAGCTACTTTGAGAGAGGTATGCTCCCATTTACTACAAGTGGCTTTTGGCACTTGAATTTCAATACATCTGATTTGATCCAGAGAAAGAGTTGCTGATGAGGCGAACCTTCTCAGGAGACAGAAGTATACCTTGTTACCCCGACATGATTTCTCAGTCACTCCTTGACAAATGTGTTTAATTTTCAGATACTTTCCTAGTTTTCCATAGTGTGGGGGACTGCTAGGCTGTATCCACAGAGCTTCCTTTTCTTTAGTCCT